TATGATCCTTTTTTTTTTTTTTTTTGGTTTTTAAAAATAGGAAGGGAATGCCCTCTTAGTGTAAAAAGGATTTCAAAGAGCTGTTATATGCAAAACTCTTTTTTCCAAATACTGATGTCAGTTTCATAAGATTCATGTACATTTAGGGGCTAAAAGGTCATAGCAGTGTTCCCAGATTTCAGTGCCAGATGTGTCAGCCTGGCAGATCTTGCAGACCCAGACTCATTCTAGAATCCAGTTAAACACATTCCACACAAGATCTTAACCACATGCAAATATAATTGAGAGCATGTGGGAAAACGATGTATTGTGTCCCTTCTGTTTTTTCCATTTACTATGTAAACAACTATTCTAAATATATAAATGTATAACTGGATTAGCAAGGTGTCTATTTCTAGGTAACTACCACATGGGTGAGAAGATAATGCAGCATCTAGAATATCTTGCATGCTCCGTGGGAATGCAAGTAGAGGAATGAGGATTCAAAGAGGGAATTCACTTCCAATTGGGATGATCAAAGAAAACTTTGTAGAGACGATAGAATCAAGAGTCTTAAAGAGAAGGAAGCATTTCAAAGAGGATATCTCAATGCAATGAAGAAAGATAGGAAGAATGTGAACAAAAGCAAGGAGCTCAAAAAAAGGCAAGGTATTTGGGGGGAATAGTAAATAGATAATAGAGATCATATGGCATAATTAATGATCGAGAATATGGAAGAGCAGATTAGGCTGAACTTAAGAGAAACAAATCTAAATGGTAGAACTTTGTACTATATACTGTTGGAAAAAAATGTAATGACATGTTGAGAGTGATCTTCAAGGAAGGCAATGACAGAAATATATAGGTGATGGAATTTGCACTAAGATAGGAGAAGTTGTAATGGAGAAGATGTAAAAGGTGTATTATTTTTTCACAGGAAGAACTGATAAGAGCAGAAGTTATCTGTGGAGGTGTAGAGTAATAGAGGAAGAAGTTGAAGAAGACTGGTTTTGAATTTCAATGGCTGCATGATTAACAATGTAATTACAGAAAATCAGGAAAAATTGTCTTGCAGATAATGGGTGAATACAATTTTGAATATATTGCATGATAGTAACACTTGCAAGTGAAGATATATAACACTTGCAAATGAAGATATCCAATAGACTTTAAATATGTGAAACTGAATAAAGGCAACTCTTGGATAGGTGAGATTCCCAAGGATGAATTATGAACAGAGGATTAAAATGTCAAGGACAGAACTTTGATGTCCACATTTAGGAAATGGTAATAGCAAACTGCCATAGGTGGACAATCAGTGGTGGGTCCTTCTGTAAGCTGGGGGTATGGACATCCTTTCCTTGTTCCCAGGGCTCAGCTGTTTTCAAACTTAGGGAGAAAGTGTTCAGTCTTTTATCAATAAATATGACGTAAACTATAGGTTTTTTTTTTTTATAGATGCCCTTAATAAAGGTAAAGAAGTAATTTTCTTTTGCTACTTTGTGTAGAAATTTTACTTTGAATGACAGTTTTAAATGTTTTTTCTGCACTTGTTGAGATGACTGATTTTTTTTTTTAACTCTTGATATGTCAGAGGTGCAGGGGGTGAGAGTATTCACAAGATTCATTTTATTTACATCTATTTTCAACTTGTTCTCTCTGCTCTGTTTTATTTTTTTTTCTTTTCTTGCTTTCCTTTAGAGTATTTTTCATGAATCCATAAAGTACGTATTATTTAGCATAGAAAGAAGCAATATGTGCGCTCTCATGTATTATAACTGAAATTCTCGCAAAATGAGATGTCTGATCATAAGCTGAAGTTGGAGAAATATTGGTTTCTTGTATAAAGAAGATTTAGAAGATTTAGAATATTTGTCTTGGGAGGTTGCCTGTGAAAACATCAAGAGATAAACATGAATCTACAAATATCAGTAAGGGCCAGCTGAAGTAAAAATGTAATTAATAATACTATTTGGAAAGCTAAGGCATTCTATGATCAAATCTGAAGGTATTTCAAAATAGCCCCCAAATTGGAAAAGGTGAAAAAAATTGTAATGGAATTTCTGTGGTGGTTAGTATATTTCACATGTCAACTCTAGTTTTAATTGAATCACTCATGTTTTCCTTCAACAACATGAAGATATCAGCTTCTCGACAATCACATTTTTCCTTGAGTTTTAGAACTTTGACATAATTGGCAGCCATCTTTTCTAATATTTAATACTCAGAACAGTTGAGTTGCAGGGATTTTCAACAAAATCTGGGTGAAGTTTCTCCCATTTTCTCAGAAAAAAAGTTGCCTGAAAAGTCAAAAAAAAAAGGTTGAAATGACTAGAAGGAATTGATGTTGGGGAGCGGATATAGAACAAATGGAAAATTGGCAAGCCAGCTGGTTAGTTTGTGGGACTAATAGTTTTGGAACGTATTTGCTAGGATAATTATTCTACTCTTTGAACTGATTACATTTTGTATTATATGATTGTTCAAATCATGTAAAGAAATATGACCTCAGTGTAAAAGGTAGAGTTAATCTAACTCCCTCATTGTCCATAAGCATTGTTCCTTCATTTACATATTGAAAATCTATGTGATCAAAAGTGGGAAAATCACAAAATCATCAAAATGTTGCATTTGGATTGCTTTTAACAATTATAATTGGTTTCATTATTTAGTGAAAAAAATTGATGTAGATATTTTCTTTTTTTAATTTATATATATATTATTTATATCTTTTACATCATTGTGTACATTTTACCTCTGTAAAATTCCTACCACCAATTCACCCGTGAACCATCACTGTATTCCCTTGTGCTCTTCTCTCCCCTGTTTTGATCCCTTTTCCTCTCTCTCCCTCACTGATTGTCTCTTATTTATGGTTGCCCACTAGTTTTGTTGATATATTATTATTATTTTTTTCCTGATCCCTTATTCGGTTCCTCTGTATTCCTCCTAGAAGTGAAACCATTTGATATTTTTCTTTTTCCTTCTGGCTTATTTCACTGAGCATGATCCCTTTTCACTCCATCCGTGTTGCTGTGAATAGCATGAGTTTATCTTTTTTGATTGCTGAATAGTATTTCATTGTGTATATTTACCACATCTTCTTGATTCATTGATCTATTTTTGGGCATTTGGGTTGTTTCCATATCTTACCTATTGTAAATAGTGCTGCAATAAACATAGTGGGTGCAGGTATCTTTTTGAATTAATGTTTTCGTGTCCTTTGGGTAGATCCCTAGAAGTGGAACTGCTGGGGTCATATGGAATCTCCATTTTTAGTAGTTGAGTAACCTCGCACAGTTTTCCATAGTGTTTGGACCAATTTGTATTCCCACTAGCAGTGTGGGAGAGTTCCTTTTTCTCCATGATGTAGATATTTTCTATGGAAACAAAAATGTAAACTAACCCATATTTTTCTAGCAGCCACTATTGTATAGAACCGTGAAGAAGGGTAGAGATATGGATCAGCCTATCTGGCTTTTAATGTTTTCTATTTATCAACTATGTGATCTTGAGCAAGATGCTTAACCTCTTTGTGCTTCAGTATCTTTATCTGTGAAATAGGAAAATTGTTTTGTGTCACAGACTTGTGATGAAGATTGAATGAGTTAGTACATGCAACATGCTTCAGCTGGGCTGGGCATAGTGTATATACTCTATGTTATAGTTGTAATAGGAGTGAAAAAGGATTAGTTAGGCTCAGTGCAGCTGGATATCAAAGTTACATTGTCTTTATAAATATCTATAAAAAAAAGCAGTGGTAATAAAAATGGAATCCATATACTCCATGCCATTGAGTGTGATATTTATAGACAATTTAAGGTTTTCAGTTATATTTTTTATTTTCTATGCCAAGCAATCATTTCTTCAAATGTAATTTTAATATTAGTAGAAGTAATTAGCATTGTATTTCAGCATAAATCAACTCTTGGTGAGTTTCAAAAATGAAATATCATTATGTACTAAAAAAACAGTATAATTAAGCAAATTTTATCTTCCATGAGTGAGAAAAATGAATACCATAAATTTCATAACTCTCAACGTAGTAAGATAATGGTAAAAAGCATAAGGAAATGTTTTTTTGGGAAAAAAAAAAAAACTACCTTGCAAAACATGGCAGAACATTAGGGTTGGTTGGGCATTAATCATGGTAGGCAGTTTATTCTCCCATAAACTATTTTATATATTTTTCTTTCAACATCTATAAAACAGGTATGTATTATTCCCATTTTACTAATGTTGGAACTAACGCTCACAAAGTTTGCCTTCAATAATTTCCCAAGGCTATTTAAGGGTAGAACTAGGAGTCAGAGCCTAGGCATTTGATTCAATTCCCATATCCTTGCATCTGCCTGCCTCCCAGCAGTGACCTGTATTCCATTGAACAAGTTTAGGACAAAAATTATAGCCGACCCACAAAAATGAAACTCCTACTAGTTTTTCAAAATCTTGTAGTTCATCTATCTTCATTTCTTTCCATATTTTCCATTGCACTTCATTTTCATTAGCACAAGCCATTTAAGTTCATATTAAAACAACCTATAACCTCACAGTGGGTCTCCTTGCTTTTAGGATTGTTGAAGGGAAGCATGCCTTGAGGTTTAACCCAGTGTACTTGTGGAAAAAGTACTGACCTTGGGGCTGATTCTGGTTTTGCTACAAATTAGCAAATTTGTAGCAAGCAAATTTGGAGCAGTGTTGAAGTTTCTCTTTTCATGTGTGTAGTGAAGGAAAAATACACAGTGATGTCAAATGTTCATTCATTCCATCTCTTCTAATTTCACACTGCCTTTTCCTAAAGCACCAAAAGTACAAATATGGACCAGTTTCTAGGGGAACTGATTCCCTAGTGGGATACTCCAGCCCTTTGGGAATTCCCAGGGCTTAAAATGGCTATAAATACAAAATTATAACAACCAAACACAGAATCAGCATCCTAAGGTGCTATAAATACTTTTAATCTAAATCAGTTCACTCTGAATTTAGGATATCCTGGTTTTTCTTTTCCATATTTTCCACAGGACTATTTTACAAATGAAAACAGAGAGTTGAAAAAAGATGCTCAGCAAGATTACCATCTAGAATATGCCATGGAAAATAGTACACACACCATAATTGAATTTACCAGAGAACTACATACATGTGATGTAAATGACAAGAGTATAACGGTAAGGAATCTGTGCATGGATTTGTACATGATAAATTAAATGTTTATATGTAAAATCCTTTGCAGGATAAAAGGAACAAATATTTTAAAATAACTTTTGGCAACAAAGTCACACAGTAATTTTTTTATTATTACTTTATTGTAAGATTTTTATTTTATTTATTTTTGTGCAGAACTGGGGTGTAGGTCAAAGGTGTTTGGGGGGTTGAGAGGATTCACCAGAGACAGAGTGGGGAGCAGAACAGGCAGATGGACCAAAGACACTGCTGAGGAGAGCAGTGGGTGAGACAGGAAAGGTCTGCTGCACCCTGTGGGTTAGCTCCCTGGCTGGGACTGGAACTCAGGCAGCTTTGCCCTGGGGAGTGGGGAGACATCATTGTGGTAACACTGAGACTTACCCCTCGGTCATCAGAGAGGCCCCACGTATTGCTTTTTGAAGTGATTTTGAATTCTCTTTAAAGTTATGAAAAAGTCTAAGACAAATTTTAATAAAGGCAATTTGTATGTGATTGTAAAAGTTTGAGTTATTTAAAGTCTAGGATTTTACTTATAAAAGGTTTTAAGCTTTTCAGTACAAAATTTGAAAATAGAGAATAAATGAATGTTGAAACAAATGTATTATATAAAAGAGAATTATACTAAATATTAAGATATAATTAACTGACTTGTAATTGATTCATCTTTGTAAATTTCTAAAATCAAGATGAATAGTAGACTAATGAAAATTGCCTATTGACTTATTATATGAGATATCATGGGAAAATTAACATCTTTATACATATGCAAATTAAATATTTAGATAGTATATAATTCATATGGTACTTTGGAAGTTTCCCTGAAATTCTTGGATCATTTCATTTTGTACAGACCAGTAAAATTATCTATTTTATTTGGTAACTCACAGCTTTAAAAAAGGAATGTAAAATTCTGAAGTAGCTTTGATTAACATTTAGCATGAAGAGTAAAAGAGGAATTTAAAAAAAAAAACACATGCCAAGACATGGATCACTTTTTATGTAATATATAGAGCAATTATACTTTAATTGGAATAATAATTATAGTCATTTGACTTATTAAGAAAGAATATAGCATTTAAAATAAACAGCTTTTGCTTTATTTTTCAAAGTTCTTATTACAAAGATCTGGCAAAACCATCTTTATCTGTGGGAGGAATGAACAGTTTCTTTTATCCCAGCAAACTCTTTGCCCTACCCCACCACCCTTTTGGCAATTTCTCTTGGTTGCTCAATGGAAACCAATTCATCTGACAGTACTTTCCCTAGTTGGGATACCCCAGTACCTTGGAAATTCCCAGTGTTCACAAAATGACCATGGAGAGATTCTACGATAATAAACAAACTCAATCATAAATTCCTTTTGTATATATACACTTTCTGTAGATTTATACACAAATCTGTAGAAAATTGTGCTGGGAAAATTCTACTATGAAAGTGGAAATCACGATCTAGAAGTCGTTTAAATTTTCATTCTATTTATTTATTTTCCATAGATGTTCCATGGCATTATAATGGGTTTTCATTTTTCTAAATCTTGCTACTTAAGAATATTTGCTTGGTAACTACTAGTTTGGAGTTTTAGCATGACAGTAATGTACTGTTGTATACCTAAAAACATAACTACCAAGTCAATTATCCTTTACTCTATATTGGAACATGCCATCATCTATTTGGCTACTTAATGGTTTAATCAAATTTACATTATTAAAGAAAGAGACCATATTGAGAACTCCAAAGGTCTTTATTCTCTTTTCTCCACTTCTGTATCTTGCTGTAAATAGAGTTCTTTGAACTCAACTCAGTGGTAAGGAAGGTGCTTTCCTGAGACATAATCATGCCCCTGTCTGATCACCAGGAGAGCACGGTCAGAGTGATCTGGGCCTACCACCATGAAGACGTGGGGGAAGCTGGTCCCCTGTACCATGACTCCCACCGAGGCACCAAGAGTCTGCGCTTGCTGAGTCCTGAGAAAACTAACGCTTTGTCTCCAGCCACATCATACTTTGACCTGGTTAATCAGGACGTAAGTTTCTTCAAGTTTTATGATTGTGGGGGTGGGTTTATCAAGAAGAACTTATACTTACATTGTTTTATTTAATAGCATGTCAAGAGAATGTGACTTTGTGTCTGTTTCCCCTTTGTATTAAGACAGGTCCTGATCCCAAACAAAGGTACAACATATTGGTGCCAAATGTTTAAGATTCCTGTATTCCAGGAAAAGCATCATGTAATAAAGGTATGTGACTCACTCACGGGCTAAATTTAATTTACACAAGTGGAGAGAAAAGTATCATTCTGAAAATGAAAGTGATAAAAATACAGAAATGAATTTCAACTGCATGAAAGTTAGAGACTTTAAAAACAAAGCACTGGCTTATTTGACCCACACAGTGTCTTTAAAGTCACCGAATTTGGTGAGAACACTTGGATGGTAGGTAATATTTTGTTTTTTGTTTCCTAATGTGACATGTTAAGGGTAAAAATTTGAATACCTTTCTTAGGCAACACTTCTACAGTTGGCATTACTGAAATTGCAATTTAATATTTACATATTGATAAATGTAGAGGATATATTCCCTGCCAATATTGCTTGAGAATATCTATTTCATTGAAAATAGTGTTGTCACTAAAAAATAGTATTTTTTTGAGAATAGGAAAACAAGAAAATGACTATAGGTTCAGATAATAACTATAGATTCAGAAATGAAAACAAATGTACCACATGATAGCTTCATGATTCATTTTTAAGCAGATCTTAATTGATAGGATGTAAAGTCCTTAATCACTTAGTGCATTTTTATTCTTGTCATCATTAATGTACCGATTAAATTGAATGAAATGACCATAATTGTCTACATCAGAGGAGGCCAGTATATGTTCTCTCTGTGTACAAATCTGCTTGTTTCCTCATCTAAGAAGTCTTAATTACCTTTCCTTTCACTAACATATTATAGTAATAGATATATGGCCATCTTTTATTTAAGGGTGCACATAAAAATCTAAGAGCTTTGTGGGTCATATTGCTATCTTCACTGTGTATTAAGGATCTCAGTGACTTAACACTTTGCAGTGTTTGAAGGGCTAAGAAGATAAAAGTTCCTTTGCAAGGGGCAACAGATTGAAGAGAGGGTTTATATAAATTCTGTTGTTGACCTGGCACAGGATTGGTGGTTAAAATTTAGAATTCTTGTTACTTAAGGGAATACCACTTATGGAATAGATTCCTAAGCTTTTGCAAAACTAAAATGTTTTGAAGTTTGTGAAGAATTGTGAAACATTTTACTAGAAAATGAACTCAAATTGGATAATATAAAAAAGATAAAGCTCGCTGAGAAAATAAATTCAAAATATTCAAGTTGTGTACACTTTGCAATAGTCTTTCAAAAACATGTTTAGTTTGGAGTTTATGCCAGTTTACAATACAATTTTAATGGATTTCTAAACAAGAATTCATAGATTTAGAATTTACTGTAAGAAATTATCTAATTTCCATTCTGTTTCCCTTAGCAGAGAAGATGACTCATAATTTAAGAGACATTATACCTTATCATAATATCAAAGATGCCTATGTTTTGAGAACTTATCAATTAAGTGATTCTCCTTTTTTCCCTTTAAAAAAAATTTTTTTATATTAGTGTAGAAGAACTATAGGGTGGGCCAGAGATGCATGGGGTGAGAGCATTAGCCAGAGACAGAGTGGGGTATAGAACAGGTGGATTTACTGAAATACTATGCAAAGGGGAGCAGTGGTCGAGACAAGAGAGGTCTGCCGTGCCATATGTGGGTTAGCTCTCTGGCCAGGGATTGAACCCAGGTCTTTGCAGTGATAGCATTGAGATTTAACCCTTAGGCCACCAGGGTGGGGGGCCCTGCGAAATCTTTCTTTAGGTAATTTCTTTGTACTTAAAAAATTGATATGGTATACCCTACTATACACATAGAGCATACACAGGACACTTTCACATATGTAGTCCTCATTGCCTGAAATGTCATTATTTGGCACATTATTATACTTCCTGTGCCTCAGTTTCCTCATCTGGAAAATGGACCATAATAGTTCTCACCATTGGGGTTGGCATGTATACTATGTATTCAAAAGAGTTTAATATTTGTAAAGTATTTAGAACAGTGTCTGACATGTAGTATTTGTTAAATAAAGTAACTAAAGTTATGCAGATCAATAGCAATATATAATTGCTAATCTCTTGATCATCTTGTTAGGCTTCTGGTTACTGAGGCATCCCAAACCAGCCAGTCCTCCCTAGAAGTCAAGAGTTTTAAACAAAAACTATCAATAGATTGTCATTCATTTTAAGGAGGTCACCTTGAGAACCTTGAGAACTTTTTGCTATGAAGAAATTGTGTAGCTGAGGTAAATGAAACACTATTGTTCTCTTTATCATTACATGCAGGAAGGGACATGCTATGCTTTTATTTGCTACTGAAAAGAACATCTTCCTTGTCGTGAAATTAGATGCTGTTGTTCATTTTCATTGGTGGGCATTTATAAATCTGAATGAGTTAATTTGGGGGAATGTTTCCTAGGACAATAAAATCTAAAAATAATTGACACTGAATAACCATGACATGACCTTGAAGCCAGAATACTGTGTAGCCATGAAAATCATCTTTCAGGAATTGCTTTTCATACATACACATGTATCATGAATATTTGGCTTTATATACTACATTAAGTGCACATTGCTGCCCAATTTCCCTATTACATTCATTTCTTTCTTCTAAATAAACAGATACCATGCAATGGACAACTTTTTAGCACTAAGCATTTCTGAAGTGTCAAGTGTGTTAAAGGGTTTTTATTCCTGAAAATGTATAAGACATCAGGGTTAAATTTAGTAAATTGTGGGAATTCTCGCTGTCAATCCATATGATTTGACAACTATTAAAAAAATACCTCCTCTCTGTCAGTTTATCTTCCCTTTTTATTTATTTATATACTATTTCAAAATATATTTTAATTGATGTGAGATTTTTTTTTTTAAGATTTATTTATTTATTTATACAAGCACTGGGTACAGTCTGAAGTGCGGGAGGGTGTGAGAATTCAGAGACAGAGTGGGGAACAGAACAGGCAGACCGACGAAGTACACTGCTGAGGGGAGCAGCGGGTGGCAGGAGAGGTCTGCGCACCATGTGGGACCCTCACCTGGTGGCTGGGGATCAAACTGGCGCTGCAGAGACTGCGGGCAGCTTCGCAACCCAGCGCTCAAATGCTGCGCCACCCAGGAGACCCTGAGTGAGATTTTCACCCCACTATTAGAAATGGCATTGTGGTTATCATCAGGATGCATTTTCACAAACAGCACTGTGAAAATGCATATCTTGTTTCCCTTTGTCATATAAGAGACTAGTAGGTACTTGCTACTGACTTTTGACTAAATGGTGGTTTCTGCATTTGTCCATTTCCATTTCAACTTTGTACAACTTTTTTGGCTTAATGATCTTTCCCTTTAGTTTTTCATGAATTAAATTTAATTCCCAAAGACAAATTTTGGGGTCTTTAAATAGATGTATTTAGTATGTTGAAAAAGAAATTAGCTTTCAAATTATGCCTCATATGAAAATACTTGCAACCTTTTTTAACATTTATTTTTTTATTTTATTCACGCATGTAAGAAATGGGGTGTAGGCCAGAGGTAAAGGTGGGTGATGAGAGGATTTAACAGAGTTGGGAGAACAGGCAGATCTACTGAAATACACTGTTGAGGGGAGCAGCAATGCTGAGGGGAGCAGTGGGTGACACAGGAAAGGTCTGCTGCACCATGTAGTTAGCTCCCTCTCTGGGGATCGAACCCATGGTGCAGTGGCTGGGAAGAGCTTGATAGCACTGAGATTTTAACCCCTGTGCCACCGGGCCGAGGTCCAGTACTTTTCAACCTTTTAAATAGTTGGTGACACTATATTTGGTTATTAAATTCTTAATACCAATATATTATCCTAGTGCCTGTGGATTTTGTCATTGTTTGACAAAATAGATGATTCTTGATCTTCTAGAAACAAGTTTTGCTGTGAAATCATTAGACTCCTCTTCTTTGGGAATTTATTAATCCTAGGTTTATAAATAGCCAAATAATTTTACTTATATATCCAGGTATATCTGTAATTTTACACTTCTTTTATTTGCTAGAAAAGAGATGAAAATATTGGGCATTTGCTGTGGCTGAAACTATATCTTTAGACAGAAAAAACAGTTGATAGGAAACAATAACATATAGACTTAGTTAAATGAGCACGTTTTAAAGACTGGTGGCTGATTTCCTTGTTGTGGGTATGTTTGATAGGAAACTAGGATTTTAAATTTCTTTAAAGAATGTGGGGATGGAAGATATAGAAAAGAGAAAGAATAGAGAGAGCCTGCATTAAGTTGTCAAAGATAAGACCCCTCTTAAATTTGATTAAAATGAACACTTTTACCAAATTTTATTTCTTCACTTGAAACAAGGAAAAAAGATCACTTTGCATTTATCGTAACTTAGTTCATCTGAGTCAAGATATAATCATAGATAAATTCCCTTTCATTAAAGTTAATATGGTAATAATAACAAAATAAAGATTAATTTACTCTGAGGAAAATAAAGATTGCTGACTTTGAGTGCTCCATGTTGCAAAGTTTTTTCTAGATCCTCTTGGATTGCATTTACTTCACAGAAACACTGGAGATTTTTTAGCTACATGGGTGTTCTTAATTGCTACTTGAGGGTACAAGGTAATTGAATTCACTTTGAAAGCATGTCTTTTCATGGAAGTGATTTATTGCTAACTCTGTCACTAATTAGCTTTCTGACCCCAGAGAAAGCACTTAACCTCACCCTGTCCTCAAATTCCTTGTCTGTAAAATAAAGGGATTGGATTAGATGATTTCAATTGGCTCTTTTTACTTCTAAGTATCTATGACTGGCTAAAAACTAAAAGGGGAAGTTGTGCTGAAGTTTGGATGCCCTGTGAGCTGAGTTCCTGACAACTTTGCTTCTCAGTTATCCCTTGCTGTGCCAAGATGAAAATTCTTAGGAGTCCTAAGTTAAAAGGCCCCCTTCTTAAGTGCTGTGGCATGGCTCTTAGCATATCTCCCAAGGCCTAAATTTTCAATCTGTAAATGGGGATAATAATAGTACTTGTCTCAAATGGTAGCTGACAGTATCAAATTTGATAATATGTGCAGATTTCGTATGTATTGGGCATATGTTAGATAGTTTGATAAGTACTAGATCTCTTCCC